AGAAGGAAAATCAATCCGAACTATGATTGCAATATCAGCAAGTCTATAACACTTTATCACACATTACAAGAATATTATCAATCCAACGCAACATCTGTAAAAATTGCTGAAGGACCTGTGAATGCCGAAACGTACATTTTTTTGTTAGTTTTTTTTATATTGTAAAATTTAAGAACAATAATTATTATTACATTAAATCCATTTAGCTCGATTTAGACCGTTTAATTATTTAATTAATACTAATCTTTTACGCCAAAATGTGGCTCATTAAGTAATGAATGCTTCTATATCATATTTCCCATTGTGGAAACATAATAAACTATACTCAATTCATTCAAATATCTCACTATTTATCAATTAAACACTACACATATTATACACAGGCACGCATACATGTATGTACTTTTATTAGAATGTATAGAAACATCATTATACATTAGAATATTTATATTGAACTAGGATATTTCAATTAATACATATTAAACGAAAACACAAAAAAAAAAAAACAGAATTGTTACAACTAAACTGTCGTTTTCGTGAAGAAACTATTTTTTTACACCTTGAAAGCAAAAAGCGTCTCCTGTCGTAAGCTTACCTGAACCGAAATAAATAGACCAAACGTGTGTATTTTTTATACGTATGGACCCTCTTTCCTCTGCGTAACATGACGAGAGAAATTCGGAATGTAATGAATTTGTAATGAATGTGTGTATAAAAGATGAATTTTTTACATGGAACGGTTCTGCTGAAGTTATAAATTTAGCTAAATATATGACTTGATACAGATCTGAAAATAATTTTGTTTGAACCATCAAAAATTGCGTTCCAATTATATTTACTGTCAGTACTGAAAATCTATAGCAAGCGTTAAGGAAAATATTCCCCAGTGATAAGACATATACTTTGGTCCAAACACATTTATTATTATTAATCTCGAATAGATGAGAACAAGCCGTAGCGGTCTAAGCTGCATGGATCTCAGGTGCTTCTATATAATTGTGTGTGAATATTATATGAATATTATTTATATACCACGTATGTAGATTTTTTGTTGCGCGCTGAAATTTTTTCAGTCTTGAAACGCAACACTACGCAAAACTACTGCAGTAATATCACGAATTAAATTGATTATAACAATTCAACGATTGTTGATGCTGTTTGCACATCTTATATCAATCTTGATAATGTTGAATGACTTATTAAAATCTGTAAATAATTAATTTTCCATTGCGAAAAATATTACCTCGGAAATCGAACCCGGATCCCGGATCTCTGGCACTCCATGCGAGCGTCCTAAGCCTTTAGACTATCGAGGCAAGCTATTTTTCGCAGGCCATTCAACATTATCAAAGCCAATATAAGATGCGCAAACAGCATCACCAATCGTTAAATTGTTAGTCAATTTAACTCGATTACTGCGATAGTTTTATTAGTGTTGCGTTTCAAGTCTGAAAAAATTTCAGCATTCAATCTACATACGTGGTATATAAATAATATTCACACACAATTATATAGAAGCACCCGAGATTCAGAGTTTAGACCGCTACGGCTTGTTCTCGTCGGTTTGAATTTTCGCGCTCCAATAAGAATTGATATCGTTTATTCTCAAATACTTTTTACATGACAATATTATAATTTGATTATAATATTAGTATTTGAATATTACAATCAAATTACAATAATAATTAATTGTAATAAAAAAGAATTTGAGATTAATAATAATATAAACAAATGTATAAAGTTTTGTGTAAATGTTCGGACAATAGATACACAGTCACTAGGACGTTTATCTTATATACTAGATTTTCAATGCAATTAACCACAATTGATCGTCTCACAATTTTATCGTAGGAAGCCAAGTTTTTAATAGAGGAAATACTTCCTCTATTACAAAATGGAGAAACTATTTCGTAAGATTTGCTAAATCCTGAAGTACGTTCCATTTCACGCCTGATGTACGAATTTATCTTTCTTTAAAACCGCTTTCGGGGATACACACATACAGGGTTTCGTTCCAAAAAAAATTCAACTTTATCAACCCCGAACATTATTTTATCCTTGTAGTTCATCGAATGAACAATAAGGATAAAATGATACATTATGCATATCGTGCGTGGAATAAAACGTACTCTAAATTTTTACGAGAATTTCAGAACTTCTCTTATTCCCTCATCGTACACACTTTTAAGACAGTTTCGCTCAAATAAACAATATCAAATCTTATCACTCCAATAATATATTTTTTTCGAAATACGAAATTGCACTTACCTGTTTGCCACAAAACAACGTTAGAAAAGATGAAAAGGACACGATCGGCGATGCGACGCGCGACGAGGCCATGTTGCTTCTGAGTTACATGACGTCACAGTGACGTCGCGGTTAACGGCTGAATTCAAAAATTTCACTAGAGTGCATTCAAGTATCATTTTCATTTAACATTTGATAAACAAGGATAAAAAGAAACCAGGTGAAACTTCTGAACGTGGCTCAACATGAGAATATTGATCGTAGCGTATTTGAATTTGTTACAATAATATAAACTTGTTCATAAATTCATAAACTTAAATATAATAATAGTAACACACACAATACCGTGTTTTGATTCTATTAGAAAATCAAATCGTGTATTCCAAATAAAACAATTGTCTATAAATTGCAAATTATATTTGAAAAATTTTGTTTCGCTTATTAAATTTGATGTTTTATACATCATAACCCAAAAATAATTTATTATTATTCCGAACAATAATTTGTCTATTTAGATTTTGGCAAATATCACGTTATAACAAATTATAGAAAATTAAAATAAAACTTTCCAATAGTTATACAATGATTGTTTATTAAACATTTTAATTTATTTTAAGTTAAACCAATAATAGTAAGATGCATATTTTAATTTTAAAACAATAATATTTTTATGTAAGTATAAATGCGATTATTAATTTCAAATAAATAATATTATTTATACTTATAAAAATAATATTGTTGAAATCAAAAAAAATATAAAACACTTATCACGATTTTATGTTTTTATGGATATCGCAAAAATATTTCCTATTTATTAAAAAAATGCAAATTACTGTACTCAACAGGAAAAAAATTTTTTTGTAAATATATAGCAACATTGTATTAACACAAATATATTATAAAAAATTCTTATGATAAACAAAGTTTTTATCATGAATCATTTTATTTGTTATATAGCTAATTAATTTACTAGACATTTTTCAAAATTCGTGAATCAAAATTCCATTTTTTAAGTTTTACGTAAGAAAGTATTAAACAATAAGTGTAATTAATTAGATGATAAATAAATTTCAAGGTTTATCAATAAATTTCTTCTTAACTTGACTTTATAACGCCTAAAGAGTTTGCAAGAATCAGTTACTATTTAAATTTTGCAAATAAAATAAAATATATTAAAATTTAAACAATATTTTACGAATAAAATTTCACTAGTAAATTCATTAATAACGTACATCTTGTACGACATTAATACTAATGTCTGTTATAAATATGTAATTTCGCGACCTCGCTTGAAACATAATAATTAATAATTTGTTCTATAATTAGAAATGATTTTATCCTTTTTCTTTAAAAGACGTATCCATTTGAGATATTCTGTCACACATTCAATCGTAAGATAATCATGTTTCACGCATGCAGTGAATTCAATTATTCGTTACTTTGAAATGATATTGTAATGCCATCAAATACGATTATATGAAAGATTATTGTATACCTGTGTTTTCATTTCATGTCTTATCAAGTGACAAATATACGTATCCCAAAATAAACAGCCAAATGTTTTATTTCTTTGTGAAATTATTTTTCATATGCATAAAAAAAATTACATGTTAAAGATGTTGTAATATTTCTTTTTTCTTTCTCTTTTTATTTGATAATAACAATTCTTCTTATCAATTTTCATCATATAAAATGTCACGTAGAAAACCATTAACAATTTGGTCTTACAAATACTGTTTCTTTAGCTCTTCAGGAATATGAATTTATCACAATAATAGATATTTGTTGCCTACATAACATGTTTAGCACAGTAATATACTTAGTATTAAATGAATACACATACAAATACTAAACTTTGGATGTATCGTTAGAATGTATAAAAAATATAAAATACCTATCATTTTATATGCTAAATGAAATTAGTTACTAAACATACATATATTCCCGAAATAAATTGCCAAATTCTGAATTTATGATTTTTTCTCATTCTTAAAACGAAAGAATGCAGTTATAGTAAAACAGACTTTGGCGATGTATTTCAGGAAGTAAAAATAGATATAAAGGAACAAAATATTAGTCAAATATTAGTAAAATGTTATACTCAACTTATATGCTTTAGAGACTTTCCATATAAAAATAGATATAAATAAAAGTTTTCGATTTATTTAATTAACATTTATTACCACTGTGTTTCCATGCATATATTCTTTGAAAATTTTTAATTACAAAAATTTAAATTTTTCCATTTATATTGCTTCATATTTCTTTGCTTTTTAATATTAAATATCTTCTTTTATTTTTAAATTTCTAATATTTCATTAAAATAAAGTTCATGTAAAATTAACTATATGATAAAAATGTTATCATTTACGTAATTTAAAGTGGGAGTGAGAGAAGAATCTGTAATGCATTGGAGATACAGTTGTAATGAGACTCGTTGTAGTACACCACACAAACTAAAAAAACCTTTAGTAGAAAACACCAATAAGAAAATCTAAACAAAGAGGAACATTTCTAAAGAATTTACAACAAAAATGATAACAAAAACATGAAAGATTAAGTATGAAGTACGTATCAAAATATAAAATTAGTCGTAAAACTAGGCGTTACTTGTCAAATTGTAAATACACATCGAATGAATAGTTACTACATTATACTTCTGTAACGTTCACGTCATATATAATTTTCGCAACTTTTTAATAGCAATCTCAGTTCTAGAACGTCATGTTAGAAACCAAATGAGATCAGACTTACTAATCGTCATGAAGAAGCATGTGTCTTTGAAAAGCGCGAAATCTGACATATGATTTTGAACACTTTTTACAAGTATAAAACTTCTCGTGTTTCTCTCGGAAACTATGTAATACTTTATGTACTAACCGTACATGCTGAGCTAACGATGATTTATGTCTGTAAATGTGTTAAAATAATATCTGTACATAAATCACATATTCAATACGTGTTTATAACATATTTGTAACTATCAAACAGCAAGTAAGAAGCTTTCGTTATTTATCTCTACATTCTTACCTGTACATTTTATTGCAGATTTGACATTGAAAATTTTCCTTGTAAAAGTCACAGTGGCTAAAATGTTTCCATAATTGATGCTTTCTACTAAAGAGTTTTCCACATCGAGCACACTGAATAACACATAAATCTGAAATAAAAATATTATAGATATTTATTAAGTAACCAATTCAGATAATAAAAACTTGAAGTAATAAGTTGTAATTATTTTTTCCTATATATTATATTTACCTGTCTGGTTTGCCGGTGTCTGATATGTAGAATTGGAAATATCAAACGAGACGTTTTGAATCAGTATTTCATCTTGAGAAATTATTTTATTTTTCTTTTCCGAAAAACTGTCCAAATTTAAATAATTAGGGTTATCTTTTCTTTCTTCATCAAAACCTTTTGAATTTTCCATTGTTACTATTTTATCAGGATGTATGACAAATGCTGTAGGATATGATTCTGTACAAATATCTTTTCTATCAATATAGGAAGACTGTAAATTTTGTGATTCGTTTTGGTTTATAGATGACATGTTTGCACCGCTTAGTTCTGTTATACTATTATCATTACTACATGCATTTTCTTTCGTTGAAATGTTCTCGTCAAACTCTTCATAAAAATTATTTTCAACGTCCATTAAATTATCAAATATATGAAAGTAATTATTAATGTAAAAGTCATAAATACTTGTATGCAAATCACATGCGAAAAGTTCGGCTTCCATGTCGTCACTGCTTGTTGAAGTTGAAACTGGATCTTCATAAAATATAATGTCTTTATCATGTGACATACAATTTGCACAAGTACAAGAATACAATATATTGGATCCACATAAAAAATTAGAACCAATATAACTGTCCATCGACTTTCCTTGCAAATTATTCTCTGTTATTGGAATATCATAATTAGTAATATCTTTTTGGATAGTTTCAAACGGCGTTGCGTTGATTTCTGTCGGTTTATAAGAAATAACATCATTTAGATTTATATCGCATTCTTTTTCGAAATTGTAAATCTCGTTGTCACAGTAGAAAATATTAGATGACTCAATCCGTTTTGTTGCAACGTCATTTAAATCGTGTACATTTATATTTGGAAAATTAGGATTGTAAACGGGCTGAGAAAGTATATCATTCATCAAAAAATTATTAGCATCTTGCATAGCGTTATTCATATTTATATCTGGAATAGTAGCTGAAGTGTTTGGCTTTTTACGTGATGTATGTGTTTTGCTGTTAGCTGATATTTTTTTCAAGTTTTTATTAAACGAACTTTTCTTCTGCTTCTTCTTATACTTTAATTTCTTCATTGGTATATTTTTCTTGCAACTTGGTGACACATTTAATGTTTTTAACTGACTAACTTCTTGCAGATTTTTATTTTTGTTATTGTTGCAATCAGGGATATCGTATTGTATGTCCAATGGAATGTGCACTTGCTTCCTTTGATGATGCGATTTTGGTGATATAATTTTATTATAATTAGCTTCCACATCTAAATCAATGCTGGATGACGTATCTAATTCCCAAGAAGAATTTCCGTCTTCTGCACTGGAGGTATTTGCATCAGTCTTGTTCAATAGTTTATGATTTCTAGATATTTTTGTATTATTGCTTCTTAAAATATTAGGTAGATTCCGTAGAAGTTGCACATTGTGCAATGAAGCTTGGTTTGCGATAGTTTTTTCATTAGAGATATTTGAATCTTCCATAAAAATGGTTTTGAAGGACTTCATAGAAGATAAACCTATTTCACTATTCATCTTTTTCCTGGTATTGTCACAGTTCTGTGCCTGCATACTCTGCTGCGACATATACGAACCTTTGGCCAGTAAACAAAATAATTGATAGAATATTAAATAAATATTTGCCTATTCTAATATATGAAATATAAAATATTTCAAATATAGAAAATAAAATAGTATACCGAAATCGAGACTGAAATATTTGTCCAGTTATAGTTATATTTATGATCTTTTTCTCCATTATCTAATCAAAACGAATACTTTACGATCAACATTTCAAAGAACTTTGCTATGTATATAATTAAATACAATTTCTTAATTCTCAGTTTACTTAAAATCATAATAAAGGTCCAAGTAATAGTTGAAGGTATCACGGATTTATTATTATATCATTTATTTGTAAATAATAGTGTGTTCACATAAAGATTATTTAAAGAATTTAAACGATCATTTTATATATAATTATTAAAAATTTGTAAATTGTATTTATTTAAAGAATGTAAGTTTAAGATTTATATAAATTTTATCAAGTTCGATATTTTATCGAGTTAGTACATCAAATTTTAATATACATAAATTATGTAATTATAAGGTTTCTTTCTCACTTCTTTGATTTTATTTACAATAACAATTGTGTACTATACAAAAAAAATAAAAAATTTAATAATTTTATTTAATAATTCGTATATAAAGAAATATAAATAAAAAACATACTTGATTACATTTTAATTTTAACTTTAGAATAATACAAAAAACAATGTTAAAGATTACCTTTGCGAAAAAAATCGCAAACTTTTAGTTTCTCAAATCTTATGGATAAAAATCTGTCAATTTACAGCTTCACTATAAAACTCGAGATATATCCTCGATAAAAAACAAGATCTATCGTCTGATTGTTTAATTATTGTCGAATCAAAAGAATAAAAAATATTCCGAAGTTTTATCAACGTTTCAAAGAGAGAATTAACGTCTAGCTTATTTAAGATCGTAATAAATATTCTCATATAACAGTCAAGCTTATCATGTTTATTTAATGTACAACGCCGACAATCGAAACATAAAGAGGGCAAGATCAGTCACTATTCCTAAAATTTCGAGCGATCATAAAAAGCACTGGACCGAACAAAGAGCACCAATTTAATCAGGAATACACTAGAAAGAAATTCTGCATGCACACCGCATACCTTCCGAGAAATTGAAAATTGTCAATTAAAAACTTTTTTCGAAGATCCAATAATAGAGTAAGGAGAAGGAGGGAGGACGGGTGAGCGTCAAATCCACTGTCAAACAGGCTTTGTTCTTCCGGTCTCGCTCCCAGGACGATGATGAAAATGCGTCGTAACCGCGAGTGTGTACGAGACGCGTAGTCCAAGTCCGTCTTTCATTCGCGCGCGACTGACAGGGAGATGTGAGATTTGTGGCGAGAGAGACACACACACGAAAGCCACTCGCTCTCAGCCGCTAAACAAAAAGCGAAACCTGAGAAGTCCTTGAGAGGAACGACTCAGCGAGCGATAATCTCGCATGGAAAGATATCCTATGGGCGCTCGCGAATGTAAACAAAGTCGCCCCATAGCCCGGCAGCCTTTTTTTCTAAACGTACGCTATGTTCAGACGGCAGTACCGGCACTTAAGGAAGTATAGAATATGTGTATTATATATATAAAAGCACTAACCAAACAGTACGTATTAGGGCTAACACAATGCTTGCTTTTTTTTCCATACCTCAGGATTGAGATTCTTACGAATTCATTTTTCTTCTTTTTCTTTTCACATTGGAGAGTATTTGAGAGAGAAAGAGATATCAACCATGCAAGAAAGTCAGTCCTAGAATATGTATGAAAGAACAGGACTATACAAATACGATTCAAAAACTACTATATGACGTAAAACGTAAATCGACACAATCGTACATATCACAGCTAAAATATGTGGTGGTAAACTATATATCATTGTAAATAAATATAAAACATCACATCTTCCCGAACTACTGAATTATTACACATTTAATTTTTACTTATTAATTTGTCTATGATACTCTGATAAGAGTATTTCAAGATTACGTTCGAATGTTAATTTTATCCTAGATATACGAGACTTTTTTTCTTCACTCTAACAGTGAAATAAAAAAGCTAAACATTTCAACTGTCGACATGTATTACTTAATGATTTACTGTGTAGAACATTATAACATTATAGTATAACTGTATTTTATTTATTGTTGAAAACCACCTAATACATACCTACATATTTGTATCGTACATACATAAGTACATGATTTCCAAACCAATGTTCCGAGAGAGAGATGAGACTTCTAGTCTCTATGCACGTGAATTTTGGTGATGCTGGACATTTCTTGTAGTCTCAAGAAATGATCCATTCAGACCGAAGTAATCTGTCTTGTCTTCGCGCTACGCGACGGCCGACGGCTTTAAGCCCGCCTAAACTGACCTAAACGATCTACATACGTATATTTAATTCGCGATCAGAATTCAAGACATTGCCGCTTGCAAGTCTTGTAACTACTCGTGACTTATGAACGTTCAGGTTCAGAATCGTGCGTCGCGTAATCGTAAACTGCGCGAATCCGGCCGGCGAATCGCGTGAGCCACGACGCACGATCGGCACGACACGAAAAACATCTGAGCTTTGAAGACTCGGAACGTGCACGTGGCGCACGTCACACATGCATGTACTACATACAAGGATGCGTTCCGAATTATGCACAAGCGCATGATATATCGTTTGTTCTTGTTGTTTACTGAAGACCAAAGAAGGATAAAATGATATCTCACTCATGCGCCTCATGCGATAATTATTCGGAACGCACTCCAAGCGTGCGTTTCACGCGTGATTGCATGATATATTTTCATCATTTTTTTTTAATATTCGGTGAACAAGGATAAAGACTCTATAAAATTATTCGTTGCTTTTTTCGACAATGTTTCGACGAAAAATTAATACGCAACTTAATATAAATTTTTTAATACCTTTTTTTTAAAACTATTATTTAGAAATCACTCGTTTTTTCTTAAATTCGTGAAAGAAGAATCCGTGCACTATGCGGTGTTTAAATTAGAATCTTATTTTATAATTGTAATAATATGTAAGAAAACAAAAAGAGAATTTAATTAACAAATTAAACATCAATCCCTAAATGTCAATTAAATTTTATTAATTTATATAACGAAGAATTGATATATGTATATATAAATATAATGTATATATAATTTCGACAATTTTCTCATTCACAAAGCTCATTCACAAAGACATAAAAATAATGTTTACGTTATTTTTAAAATCGAGAGTACATTGTTTTCATATCTATAACTTTAAAAGTAAATAAATAATATACATATATATATAATAACTTACATAAGCTTTAAATACAATTTCAAAAGCTTGCTGATTCTAGTTGTAATAAATCCCTCCCTTTTACATATTTGTATTTCTAACAGTATACATATACTAATATATATATATAAAATTTCTATTTAAATTATTAAATAGATTTCTTATATAAACAGTTTATAGGAAAAACAGCATAAATATAAAAAAGTGAGATAACATTGTAATAAAATATTTTATTAAAATGAAATATAGCAGTTTCGAAAAATATTACTTTTATAAATGATCAGTTTATTTCTAGATATAATAAAATAAATAAAATGTGAAATGCCACACATTAATTTGATAATACTTATTATACATCAATCTCTTAATGACTGTAAGTAAAATTACCAATCGTTACCATCATCAAGATTATTTTCGTTTTTTAAACTTGAAAATAAAACATCATTGATCTTGGGTCGAGGATCCTCTTTAATCTTCGTTGGTATTGCTTCTGCCTGTCCTAACATCCATTCTAATTCTATGTAACAAAGTAAACAGCACAATTATTTTCTTGTACATTTTCTTTATACAATCAAGCAAGTATTACCTGCTTCAGACAGTTTCATGCCACGGAATTCGAGAGGCCCAATAATTTGTTTCACCATATTTCCATCACGATAAATGAATATTGTAGGAAGATTACTGTCGGGCCAATTTGGGATGCAAGTGGTAGAGATACTTTTCAAAAACTTAGTGGCAGGAAACTTTTTTGCTAGACTGGCAAGATGCTGATTGATTAGAGTACAGAGTGGAATGCTGAAAATATATATATTATGAATTAGTTTCATGATCGTGTTTACTATGAAGGTTTGTTCTGCTTTGTTTTATCATACCCAGATTTGTAAAGATATAAAATAACCCAAACATCTTCACCAGCATTGTTAACTTCCTTAACGTAATCTTCTGCAGATATTTCTTGCACCTCCCCGTATTTACATTTGTTTGCAAACTCCTTCATTTCTGCTATTCTTTTTCGTCGATATTCCTCTAGAACTCGTTCATCCTCTTCATCTTCCAGCTCATCCAACTCATCCAAAGTCTTCTCTTCTAAATTGTTACGATCTGTAAAAATTAGGTTTATATGAGTCTACAATAACACATTGATAAACACTAAAGAGCAATTTAATTGGATATTAAGAAACATAATTACCACGTCCGGTTTTCTCATCTATTGTATTCTCCAAGAGATTTACTATCTGATCCTCAGTAATTTCCTGTTCCTTTTCCTTCTCAGGTATGATACCTTTCCTCCTAAGAATATCATTCCATTCGGTGTCTTCATTTGGATCTTGCTAAAATTGAGAAATTAGCTTGAAAAGCTATCTGCTTGGATAATGTAAAACGCAAAAATTATTAAATATTTTCTTTTTTATATCATAAAATAATATATTAAAAAATTTAAATTAAAAATATATTTAAAAATTTATTTAAATATAATAATATGTGTATGTATGTATAAATATTTTTGTACCTAAAGTCATGCTACCATATAAGGAATCACGTGATTAACCTCCGCTTAACCTCTTAGCCTCAAATTTTTATTAATACTCACCATTTTGAAATACTGTTATTATTACACTTCTATTTTTTATTTACTAGAAACTAATTCCGTTTTTGGTATTCTTTACACAAAAAACCTTTTGAATATATACAAATTATTGCAACATAAGAGAAACTGATAGCGACAACTGAGCTATTCTCCACTGATTGACTACATGCTGCTACACGCCACTTATGCCTGATCGCCTGATGTAGCTACATACATGCATGTGTTAGACTATTATTACTGTTGTTTTGTACGTAGAAATTGTATGCTACAATGTATGAGAAATACGTATTCAACATTTAAAAAAAAAAAAGTAACAATGATTCTTATACAAGACTAACTTGTAGTAACACACTGTCTGTGTTTAAGAACTATAACTTATTAAGTACATGATTATTCATGATTTTATTGGTATCATATAAATACAATTTAGATATTTTTTATTAATTTGATACACATAACTAAAAACACCACAAGAAAAACAAGATATTATAGGTATTTGAACATTATAAAGTTTTATTACATTTATGATACAATAATAAAAATTGATACATTAAATTTTACTACATAAAATGATAATATATCTTAGAATATTTGTAAAAATAGTCTTTCTTATGCAAATAATCATAATAATTGCAGTATATAATTAAATTTATTATATTATATGTGTATAAAAATGTTAATATATACAAATTGAATTTAAGACCAACACAAACATTAAATATAGATAAAATAATAGTTTGGGACTTAAGTTTTTTTTTCAATTTAATTCATCATGCATACATATTAGATCCTTCTCTTGGATATTGATTTCAATGTTTATCATAATTCTCATCAATATTGGAATTAAATTCAATTTATAATGGTATATATTAAAAAGACAATCATATTAAGTTAATTTTGTTCATTTATTCCATTAGTTACTACAATCATTATCTTTAAAAATAGATTCAGAGTTGTGAATATGACCAAATTCGTAGCATTCATGATTAATATTTGCTTTTTTGGCACTTTTCTTGAAAGTTGCACATATGTCAGTCTTTATGTTTATATCAAGGTTTATATACTGTGTAATTTAAAATCAATATTTTTTTTTATAATAAAGTCTTATGCAAATCGAGACAAATTCCCTTGTTAACAGTATATATGTATACTACAATAAATAGATAAAATTAAAAAATATACATATATTATAGATAACTTACAATAAAGATATGTCCATTTGATTAAATAATAAATTGAAAATATTAATAATGACTAAAGTTCACATATATGGTCATGTATAAATACACAAGATGAGTTCTCAATCAATTAAGAATTCTCTATATAAATGTATCTGTTATTAATAATAATAGGGTTGGGAAAGTTACCTTATGAGTTATTTATAAGTTACTTTTTATTATAGAAATTGAGTATAATTAATTCGGGTATTTCATTTTTCATATCATATCTTATCATTTGCTTCAATTTTGTATTACTTTTTGTATGTAAAGTTATTGCCAATGTGAGCCAACACTAGTTCTTTTATGAATTATAAGTATAACTTTATTAAAAATTATACAATAATATAAATAAACATTTCAACTTTTTGTTTAGGTCCTCATCAATATAAGTTTAATCAAAGTAATAATAAAATTTCTATAATAAACACATAATGCAACAAAAAAGTAACTTAAAAAGTAATTTTTCCAATCCTGGCTCATTACACATCGTAATATATAATAAGAATAAAAATATCTCGAAGTATCTCTTAAATAATGCAACAGAGTAGTAACTTTCGGTTAATATACCAAGATGCTTTGTTACGAGATATTTATCTCGTATTTTCATGACATGTATCATTTGATTGTTGATTTTTGGTCTCCACGGGAAGTACAAGCGTAGCAATTGCAGCACACAAAGCGGTTGTTGCATAAGTAATCATGGCTCCCGTGATGGACCATTGTAAAAATACTTGCGCTATGTATGGAGTGATCATAGCACCGATTCGTGCCATAGCGCTACACGCACTTACACCTATGCTTCGTAAATGCGTAGGGTACACTTCCGGCGTGTATACGTACGCAGCTTGAAACACACCAGCAATTAGGCCTCTGGCTAGGAAAATGGCAATGGTCAACACCGCTCTACTCAACAAACAGGTCCTGCTTAAGAAACAAACTACTATAGCGAACATGACTAACTGGCAGGCCATTGTCTTTCGCCTGCCTATTTTTTCGATAGCGAAAACAGTAGAAAATATGCCAGGAAATTCCGCTAATGTTGTCCAAAGTAAATCGATGTAGTCGCTACGCCGCAATCGGCAGTCAAGTTGGCATGTACCTTCATTGTTGTTCGTACTCCATGTACTACATTGCTCTGAGGATGTATGAAAAAGTTCAGTTGTCATTAATACCACTCCATAGTAGCAGAATGCTGTACTCATCCTGCAAAATATGTACAATAACACATATTTACAATATAAATATTGCTAATATATTCTATTTGTTATAGTTATACTAAATAATTATAAAAATATTGGAATAAAGTTAATATTTTTGTATTCAATTTGTTATTTACCATACAAGCCAAAGTAAAGCAGACGTTCTGTACATTTCTTTACTTAAAACATCTTTAAATCGACCATGATGACCTTGATAAAATCTATCCATAACTAGTCTTCCTACTGGCAATGATTTTTTATTTTCTCTAGCTACACGTTCTAATGTTGAAATTGCACGATCTATTCTTCCAGTTGTCATATCAAATACTGTAGACTCTGGCAGCCACTGCAAATATATGAAATTATTTAATATAATTTCTAAAGTATTTTTAACTAAATGAGATACTTGCAAATATCTAAATTTATTACAAACCGGTGTTATTACTGCAAATATAAATAATGGAATGGACGATAATATAAGAAGCCATCTCCATCCAAAATTGGGCATAACGATTAATGCAATTGCCACTTCAAAACAAGCTCCAAGAGCCCAAAAACACTAATACATATAACATATATATATATATATTTTGTATACTGTGCTTAATACTATTATGCATATTAATACCATGTACTTATAATGTAAACTTACATCCAGTAAAATAACACATCTTGCTCGTTGTTTTGCTGGCAAAAACTCTGCATACAATGTCACTCTGCAGAAAAAAAGTATGCATCAATAGCACCAAGTTTCAAAGTAAATTAGTTGTTCATTTTTAAGAAACTTACCAAATACTTACGATTGTGGTACACAACCAATAGCAAATCCTACAACTCCTCTAAGCAAGAGAATCCAGAGAAAATTTGGTGCAAATGAACTTAGAAATGCATAATAGGCCAACAATACTGCGCACAAAGTTAAAGCTTGCTTACGACCGTATCTGTCGCTTAAATTATTCCAAAAAGTAGAGCTTAACATCATACCAAGAAATACTACCTAAAAATTCAATTTCCATAATAACAAACTTGAACATTGTCATGTATTTTACAAAAATAACCATGCAAATCCAAAAAATACCGTTGTGGTCAGTGCTTGTTGGTATCTAGAAATACCCCAATCACAATGTAAGGACGGACTTAGGATACTCAGTATTGTAATCTCCATACTATCTACCATCCAACAAAGACCCGTGAATAAAGACAATTTTACTTGAAATTTTCCAAAGCCTAATGCATTGATAGCCTGTACCACAGTAAAGGTATCTGTCAACAAAATGTAATTCAATTTAATACAATTTATTACAATTATTACATTTTTTTTGTTAATATACTACTGCATAATTTTATGTTTGTATTTATTTCATGATATAATACTTCATATTTGTATGTATATCTAAAAGCATATTGCTCCACTTTAAATACCAGATAATACATTTTATTATCGTACGAAGTTTATAAAAAATATACACACCTAATTCCTTGTACACATGCATGTCTAATACACTGTTGTTAAGATACTTTATAGCGTTCCATGTTACCACAACTTAACATAGTCATTAGTAAAACCAGTTTTCCCAGTGTTATATTATCATGCGGTATTAAATATTTACAGCATACATGGTCTTCTTTTGTATTAAAGTTAGGTAAACCCTTCTGTACAATTAGAACACGGCATATAATTAAACACTGTAATATATTACTTATATACTATTTACATATTTATAAGAGATGACTATTTGATGTAACATACCATCTGGTATAACTACAACAGAGGAAAGTTCCATTGATCGTTCAGTGCCATTCTCCAAACTCGTAGGACAGCTTGACGTACTTTGTGCGCCAACATTTAGCTCGGCGCCATGTGATTCTTCTAATTGACGATACGGTTCATTAGATTTTTTATCTGGCTCCGACATGGTTATGCTCTTATATGCTTTTCAACGTAATCACAACATATGATATATTCCCAAGCAGTCACGGACTATTAACCACTGACGAAAATGAGCAAATCGAAATCAGCTCTTGAGAAACATTCATTAATTTTATCAAATTCTGCATATATAAATACAACTTGGGAAATCAAATTTTGTATGCAGCACGCATCATATGAAATGTCAACTGCTTTGTGGGTTAACCTTTTCTTCGCACCATTTAATTTCTAACTAATCGTGCCATTTTTTTATTGATAATGATAAATTTGTTTAATGTATGATAAGAAAAATTAAATAAACTGAAGTAAGAATAAGTAAAATGTAAAACACAAAATCTGTAAGCTCTCAAATACAGAAGCACACAAAATGTTATCCAATATTTTCATTCAATAATACGAATTTTAACAAACTCCATGATGGATTAGTGGAAGAACCGGTTTTCTTAGATTATAGGTGCGTTCCGAGTGTGCGTGAATCCTACATATTGCTGGATTCACAACTGGCTGCGTTCAGCAGACTCAACAGTTTTTGCAACCGTTTTATGATTCATCTCGCTGATTGGATTGTAATTTTAGATCTAAAGGAATAGTCCTATCTCAGCAAAGAATCATAAAACTGTTGAGTCTGCTGAACTGCATCCGATGTGCGTCGTACCGACTCTGCAACCAATCAGAAAAATCGTATTATTGGTACGAAGCAAAATCCTGTTTTCTGATTGGTTGCAGATTCGTTGTACGACGAAAATCGGATTGCAGTGTGAATGGTGTGAATCCAACATATTTAAAAAATATTTTTGCTGATTGGGTAGCACGGCGCTAGTGCTGCACCAGTTTTCCCAGTGGAAAACGCTATCAATCGCAACAGAGCGCGCAACCCGTAGTGTGATTACGGCTTAAGCGGCCGTTTACGGCCTTAAGCGGGGAGCACAGACTTTTGCATAACGCATAAACCATATACATAAAGAATTTGATTGGTCCATTGACTCATGCATAAGAAAATGGACCAATGAAATTCCTTATGCACATGCTTTATGCGTTATGCAAAAGTCTGTGCTCCCCGCTTTACGTTTTTCTGTGCCCTGGCTTTAAAGCCGGTTGTGCTTTTCTGATATCTAGGGCCGGTATTCATAGTCAGTTCATATATTCAAGACCGTCTTAAGTTCAGTCTAGAGGAGTTACGAACCAATCAGAGGGCCGCTTTAGCATCTTAAGACATTATGCCTGGTTTATGCTTCGGTCTTAATCCTAAAATTCAGCCAATAGAGTTCAAATTTCGGTTAGAACTGGCAGCTTTATTGGTTGAATTTTAGGATCTTGGGATTAAGACTTGAAGCATAAACCAGGCATTAACATTCTTGAAATAAGAACCGACTATGAATACCGGCCTAGGACTCTAGTAATAGCAAGTAAGTGTATGTAGTTTTGCGACTCGCCGCCTGTGGCGGTAGTTCTTTAATACTGACCGTATCGACTGGTATCGACTCATGATAGGGCATGATAGGGGCCATTTTACCAAGCTAAACTAAATGTAGAATGATATAGAAAAGTCTTTTCTCAAGCTCTTGTTGAAAGTTGAAACATTGTGGCATTGCGAGTAATCTGGAATAATCTAAGGATTGAGGTGGATGTCCCATTAAAAGTTTTATTTTTCAAAATGTCACATCAACGTGGTTTTAAAGGCATGTTTAACTCTTATGCGCGATATAATAGAGACGGTAAGATCGAAATTCTTTGAATAAAAAATTCTTTTTTTAATTCATTTATCTTTTTCTGTATGAATACTTTCTCTTTTTATCGGTTTTGTTTTCATTTTTAGTACGAATCATTAAACACATTCTACAATGTGCTTTTTGTTTCCTGTTTTTTGTTGTTTGTTTCTGTTTGTCTCTTGACTTTTTGATCAAGAAGGCAAGAGACAAACAGCAAGAAACAGGAAACAAAAAGCACATTGTAGAATTAGCCTTATACTTTGGAGAAACAATCAGCAAGGATTTGATTCATAAACACTCACATGTATTTTGATTTAAACTTTCTGTTAATTTCTTGTGATTAACAATCTTTATTAAGAATAACTTTGATTATTTCAATGATTGTAATTTAATTCTTACAAAATAATGTAGTAATCTAAATTATATTTAGTTATAGTTTGAAATGGATATTTAATTTTTCAAAAGATTTTTTATTTTGATGTAATTAACCAAATTAATGAAGAAATTGTATTTCATGAAATATTTTCATAATAATTGCTATTCATAGATATTAATAAACGATATTATCTTTTATTACATATGTAATATTTTAGATCTCCAAAATAAGCATTAGGAAAATATCTTTTTAATTACTCTGTAATGTTAACTGTTAAGGCTGGAATCAGATTATGCATTGAAGATTGAGATTGAAGATTGAAAAATTGAAATTTGGCCAATCAAAATAATAGGAGTCAAAATTTCTTTATCTTCATTGGTCAAATTTCAATCTCAATCTTCAATGCGTTATCTGATTCCAGCCTTAAGATGTTCAGTTGTTTGAAAAATAATTTAAAAAATATAAATATATTATTTTGTGCTTTTGTTTTTTCACTGTTTTATCACATACTATGCTAATCAAAATGCAAACAAAACTTGAATACTTTGTATTCATTTTTAACCTTAATTTTCCAAAGTCTATTAATTTTTAAATACTTTTATTTTGAGTAGATTGATATTTTAGCTTTATAATAATTGTTTTTTTTTTTGTTAGAGTATGTATTGTTAAGTAATAGATAAAATTTATCAAGGAAAAAATTTAAATGTATCCATAATTTGGTCGAAGATCATACAATCTCTCCAAAGTTAACTTTGGAGAGAAAAAATTTAGTCCTCAAATTTATGAATTTTTTAGAACAAACACAATCTACATCTGGATACAAAAGAACATACTCACAAGCACGAAGACCTCCTGGATTAAAGGGAAAAGAAATTGGAATGTATTATAAAAACAAGAATAAAGGGAGACAGAAAACAAAGGCTTCAGAAGTTCTTAAATTATCATTGAATATACAGCAACCAATTAGGATTATGTTAGATAATGCAGAGAGATTTTACAATCCATTTTTTTGTCCAAATTCTAAATCTGATAAGGATGACAAGGATTATCAATTTCATGATACTCAATTTAAAAGAAAATTTTTTGAAATTGTACATGGTGATATACAGCAAAATCTTGCCAAAGCTATGAATGTAAGTTCAAAGTTGCGAAGAAATAGTGATATAGACAGAATATTACAAAATGATAACAGAGAGAAGCATAATCAACATGCTTATAATAATATGTTGAAGTTTCGATTAAAATTACCAGCGTATAAAAAAAGATCAGAAATATTACAATTGATTGAAGATAATCAAGTTGTTGTTATTAGTGGAGAAACTGGTAAGTAGTAAAAGTTATTTGTTAATATATAATAAAAGAATTTTTCGTTGAAAAATTACCATTGTTCAGTCCACGAATGTCTTTCGTATCGTGCACACTGATTTATACATATTTGATTCCTCCATATAGAAGAAATCATTTTTAATATTATACACACCAATTGACTTGTTTTTTTTATATATACAAATTCTCTGTTTGAACCAATGATAATGAAGGATTGCATTCAGTCGACCAACTACATTAGAACAGTTGATTTGTCGAAGTTTTATTCATCGGAGAATTCTTAACTGGAACATCCACTGCGTATCTATTTTATTTTTATATTTTTGATGTTGAAGATCTGAAGATGGCTCAATATAGAAGCCAAAACATGTAATTCTAATGTCAATATCATATTATATTAAGAACATCAATCTTCCATTTTATCTTCGTAATACAAATTTTTTTTTTAATTTGACATAAGATTAGTTTTAATTTTTGACTCTTATGCCCTTTTTTCATTTTTAAATATATAATGAAATGTTTTTATGATTATTTTTTTTATTTATATGTACTTGTTGGAGCAATGCATTAAACATGTGCAGGAACAATTTTCAAATTTTCAGTTCTAGTTAATAATTAATAAACTATCTTTTAAATGATTTTTTGAAAAAATTTTAGGATGTGGCAAAACGACACAAATTGCACAATTTATATTGGATGATGAATTAGAAGCTGGAAATGGCAGCGTTACTCGAATAATTTGCACGCAGCCTAGAAGGATTTCAGCCATTTCTGTTGCTGAACGTGTAGCTATGGAAAGAGCAGAAAATCTTGGAAATTCTGTTGGCTATCAGATACGACTTGAAAAGTAAATTCTTTTAAAATGTGTATACTACTATATATATAATAGTTTATAGAAGTATAATTCTTTCTCTATAGAAGTATAGTTCTTTCACCTTGTATACTATTATCTATAGACAGCCATCACGAGATCATGGAAGTATATTGTTTTGTACTACTGGTATATTACTGCAAATTATGAAACATGATCCAGCATTAAAAGGTTTCTCTCATGTGATACTGGATGAAATTCACGAACGTACCACAGAAAGTGATTTCGTTATTACATTATTAAAGCAAATTATTCCAAAAGTAAGTTTTAATGATATTATGTTATTACAATAATGTTACTGCATAGTGAATGTATATATGCTAATACACATAACACACGCACACATCTTAACATTATTTAGACTATCTTACTGTTTTATGTTATTTTGTTCAAGGAATTTAAATATATATTTTATTATTTTTGTTATTTTTATAACATTTTTGTAATATATATTTTTATCAACAAATCATGTGTTTTATATATTAATTTATATTTTTTTAAATGTATTTTCTAGAGAATAGACTTAAAAGTTCTCTTAATGAGTGCAACATTGAATGCTGAAAGCTTTTCGAAATATTATAACGATTGTCCCATGATACATATACCAGGTTTTACTTATCCTGTACAGGAGTTTTATTTAGAAGATGTTTTATCAGTTGTAAAGTAAGTATATGTTATTGAAATTGTATGTATATATTAGTGGA